TATTGTACTAGTCAATGTATTTTTTTATTCGTGGATTGTGTTACGAAATTACGTCTTTGTATCACTGATATTTGCACGCAAAAAAATAATTTTGGACCATTGTTGTATAAACGTTTTATCGACATTCCGACATATCATTACCGAATAAAATATATGTACGCATGTTCGTATATATTGTTAATCATAAGACCGAAATGGTCAATTATATGTACAAACTGATGTAAATATTAATAACTTAATAGCGGAAGTAAGAAGATTATAAATATAATATATAGACGTGTATGTAATATAATTAAATATATTTTTAATTCCTTCTAATCCTTTTCATCAAATGAATATTAGGTGCACAGTAATAATAAAGAGAGATCTCGGTAGACATGTTATTGTTCCACGTAATATCCAGAATCATTCACTGAGATCGAGGATCATCCGTTCTTGGATCACCCGATGACCTTTAAACGATTTGCTATGATCGATAAATGAAGGAGGAGGAATTATGCTAATTGATCATCTCTCAGAATTAGCGGATTATCTTGCGTGAAGATCGTGTAATAAATTCCATTGCAATACGATTCAAATTAAAGCTGGAGCTTCGAGAAATACATATCCCGTCAGAAACATACGACTATTATTTATAACACAAATTCATCGTTAATCACTATTGTAATCAGTCACTTTTTGTTGACGCGAAGAGAAACTCTTATATTTCGAGTTGCACTGAACGCAATCAATTTCAGATGATCGTAAAGGTACCTCAGGTCTTGAAGTCCCGGTCCTCGAGAACTATTATATACGAATTAATGAAGTATAGACGAACCTGATTTAGATATTGAGAGTAGCTATTTGTAATTGAGCGGTCCTCCATAACGGGAAGTGATCAAATGGCGCGCGCACCCGGATGTTGCGCGCGCAAAGCGAATGAGGTAACAAAGAGCACTTGACGAAATTTCATTTGATCGTATTACGAATCGCATAGTTTATTTCGAAAAAATTCCGTTCTAAATTTGTTTTTCGTCGGAACAGGTTAATTTGTCGGACGATTACCGCGTAGATTTTGAGGAAAAAATGATCGACTAAATGATGCACGAAACGCGTAAGTTCCTGCGGGGTGGGCGAGGGACGCCATGACAGTCGTCGTATTTTCTGTTAACCGCGAGCACGTATGCTCTTGTCAGCGTTTTCGTGAAATTCTTGCGGAGTTCGGCGCCGATTTGGATCAAAATCGGCCGTCCCGTTTCCCAGATTTGCCGAACTTTCCTTGGGATATATTCTGGAGGTGGAGGGCGAGGGCGCGTGGCCATTATCAGGGATTTGCTTGTGGGTACCCGTGGCGAGGTGAGACGTCGAGAGGCGGCGAAAGACGTCCCCCCCTGCGTCGGGACGCGCGTCTCCCCGTGTACGAGACGGCCTAGGGCCGACAAAGCGAGATGCCAGAACCGCCGACGGCACCGTACACCACGTGAGTCCACCCTCTAAGCTCTCTCGATTATCGCTTCGGCCCTCTCGGTCCGTTTCGCAAAGTCCCCTTGCCCCGATTCCCGAGGTACCACCATCTTGTTGCCTCTTGTCCTCGTTCTACGAGTCACGATAATTGACGCGTCATATGCCTGAGACACCAGAAGATGGTGCCCGTGAACCCTCTCTCGAACGCGAGGGGATCCACGGCAGGTCCTGGAAAATGTGGGAATACACCCGCGTACTTTTTCCGACCACTGGTACGCTAACATTTTTCACTGTTCCATCATCAGCCTTTGTCGCCGTCGAAAGACCGTCTCGGATGACTCACCCTTTCCCGCTCACTCGACAAAAAACTCTTAAATATCTGAGGTTAAATTAACTGCTCGCTTTCTTTTCTCTACGACGCGTCGATACGTTGTTCGCGATATCAACCTATCACACGAGCATTATATAATAATAACTGTCCGTTCAACAATGTTTCGGGTTCATCGTATTGGAAACGACTTATTTCGTCTTATTGATATTAAATGAATTGGTTTCGAGGTTAAATCACATCGTTCACTTTCCTAATCAGTCCCAATGGTGCAAAGAGCACAATGCGACTGATTCGCTTGTTACGCATAACATTCTCTTCCTGCAATGATGTTAGTTTTAATAATTTTTCATTTTTAAATTGATCAATGTACATCGACTTCTTACGCACAAATGTAGCGAAGGAATATTTATATTTACGCACACGTCGATGTATTATAATTATACAATCAAGACAAATTATTCTTGATTGAATTATTTTGTTACAGGATGAAAAATGAGATATATCAAAAACAGTTAACTAGTATCCTCCAGTGAATAAAGATGAACAGCGAGCAGCATGCATTGCCAGCGACTACGCAGGCACAACAAGAGGTAAGAATATTTCCAATTGACACAGGCTATTTCCCAAATCACAAATGCGCAACTGAGCAAACAATATTATTCAAGAACAGTATGCAAATGAATCGAAGCCTATATTTGTTTAGCAACACCATTCATTTTACAAATTCTTTTTCTTACTATTCATAATGTTCCTATCTTACTTACGATCCGTAATCACACGTGCTTGTTTCTACGTACATACAGTTGGTCTATTTTTAAGAATGTCATAAGCAAAATTAAACAGTGAACTTCTCTGTCATTTATAAAAGAAATTAAGAACAGTTGGTTAATTTTTCTCTGATTATTTTACTTTTGTTCATCGTAGTAATGATTGAAATTTGATCGAAGGAAGAGGTGTAAAAATTGTAAACGAGCGCATTTGTCTATTGGCATGAAGCCTGGTGCATGCTGCTGCATGCTCTATCAATGTTGTACAAATGTTTGAATGTATATCGGTAGGATGTAAACGTGGGTCAAAGTGGTCGTCCTTCGTACCCAGGTGGTTTGGCTACAGCAACCAGTCTTGGCAATGTAGGGAGTACCCCACATTCGTCCGCGGACCTGCGTGTAGGTACAGCCGTAGCGTTAGCCTCCTCGGTAGCTAAATATTGGGTCCTCACGAATCTGTTTCCTGGACCGCTACCTCAGGTTTCGGTCTATCATTCCCACCACAACTCCTCGCATAGGAGTAGTGGCGGTGGAGAGGCATCCTCCAAAGAACCAGCCTCTTCTTTGAACCAAGAAATGGCATTGACCTCCAGTTCACATCATCAATCAACGCCTACACACCACCATCACCAACCTTCAGTTAGCAGTAGCAGTCATCATAACTCTTTGCAACCGAATCCACAGGTTTGTGTATACTTAGAGATACGCAGCTATTAGTGCCCATCTATTAGCGTAGTTTATAAATGAGCCGAGTATAGTATTCATGCGTTTGCAGGAGACTATGGTAATATTACTGTATTATATGTAACCTCATGTAAGTGTGAGTAGTTAGCGAAGTTTATGTCTTGCGGACAGAAGTACATTTGGAATGCTTACGATTTTACATGATTTCAAATACGGCTTTTTATTCACATCTTTTTCATTCGAATTTATTTCTTACACACGTAATTACATGCTAATGACGTACAATTTATTTTGTAATTATATTTGACATGTATGTTACTGAGAGTTTGTTTTATTACTTGGCTCGATATACATTGTGCAGCGGCATATGCAAATATATTTTACAATTAACTGGACAATACTTTTAATTTTACGTAATCGTTGTACTTGCAATTTCGTTGGAACGAGAAGGGCGTATTGTAATATATTTGTTTTCTGTATATTTCATTTAGCAGATACCAGTGTCTCTGCCAGGCCTTAATCTAGACGGGGCGCACATACCTACGAGCGTCAGTCACTTACAAGCAGCGCATGCACAAATGCAGCAACAAATGCAGGCAGCACAACAACAACAGCTGCATCAGCAGCAACAGCCCCAACAGCAGCAACAGCAGCAACAACAACAATCCCATCACCAAATGCAAAATCATCAAAATGCTCAGAACAGTGGACCAACTGCACACAATCAAAACGCACAGAGAGATGATAACAAGGTGAAAGATGAAGGCGGAAGCTGCACGACCGAACGTTGTAGCGATAACCAAGTGCACTGTCAGGTTCAGTGTGACCTCCAGTTACAAACGTCTCAAGAGTTACAACAAAGTCTTATTCAGCAGCAGCAGCAGCAACAACAACAGCAGCAACAGCAACAACAGATCGGTGTGAATATAAGTGGAAATTCTTCTTCCGACGGTGGAACTCAGAATAATGCAGAGAAACCGGAGAAGGAGAAAGAGCTGCGTCAACTGAACATGACGCAGTACGTTGACAGTTCGCAATTGCCTATTAATCGAAATAACATTTGCGCCTTGACGAGCAGTACGATTTTTGTGTAGATTCCAAGTGCCAGACTTAAAACCAGGAGGTCACATGATGGACGTGAGAACGGCCGATGGTTCGGTCGTGAAAATCAGTGCAGGGAACGAGCAGGATCTGGCGAAGACTCTCGGTGTTGAAATGGTGCAAAATATGTACAAAGTAAGAAACGTTTTAATATCTATGCGTATGCAATGAGAATATAACGTTCTAAGTGCGATTATGAAATGTTCTGTTACCTTGTATAGGTGAATGTTGAGGATATTAATCAGCTATTGGCGTATCACGAAGTGTTTGGAAAATTACAAAGTGAAATCGCAGTTGGTACAACGTTAGTCGGAAGCACAGTTCCTACGCAAACAGTTACCACTATACAAAATGGAACGCCGATCGTGCAACAGGTTCAGTTAAATAAGTTCGATATTAAATCAAGCGACGGTGAAGCTACACCAGGACCAAGCGCCTCGCCCGTCTCAGTTGGTAGTCACGCATGTGAAATATGCGGGAAAATATTTCAGTTTCGCTATCAGCTCATCGTGCACCGTCGATACCATACGGAAAGAAAACCTTTTACCTGTCAGGTATGTATTTGTAACTTAAGAATCAGAAGAAGACTTGCGAGAATCGTATGATCTTATATTCTTTTTGTTGACACTTTACAGGTTTGTGGGAAGGCATTTTTGAATGCAAATGATTTGACCCGACACGGAAAATGTCATTTGGGTGGACCTATGTTTACTTGTACAGTCTGCTTTCACGTATTCGCGAATGCACCATCCCTGGAACGTCACATGAAGCGACACGCCACCGATAAACCGTACAATTGTACCGTTTGTGGAAAAAGTTTCGCGAGGAAGGAGCACTTGGATAATCATACTCGGTGTCATACTGGAGAAACACCGTACAGGTACATCACTAGTGTTTCTAAATAATAGTGTAAAAGTATGGAAATTCGTTACATAGGTGTGATGTTTCAAGTTAACGAATAAGTTGATTTCATCACAATTGTTTCGTTTATATCTTAGGTGCCAGTATTGTTCGAAAACGTTCACCAGGAAGGAGCATATGGTGAATCATGTTCGTAAACATACGGGTGAAACGCCGCATCGATGTGATATTTGTAAAAAGAGTTTTACTCGGAAGGAACATTTTATGAATCACGTTATGTGGCATACGGGTGAGACTCCTCATCATTGTCAAGCCTGTGGCAAGAAATACACCCGTAAAGAACATCTTGCGAACCATATGCGTTCACATACCAATGATACACCGTTTCGCTGTGAAATATGCGGTAAGTACTAATTCTACTCCTTTCATTTATGTAATCAATGAATTACGTATATTAAGAATGAGTTGTACACTTTTAATATATTTCATGATTTGCGAAGTTAAATTCAAACGAAAGATGATAATTCAATTTTTCCATACGTACGCGGGCATAAAATTAATTATATTTCCATTGCGATAAAATAAAAAAATTTCGTCTGTTTGTTTTTTTTTGGCTTTGTTTACCGCTGCGAAATGCAGGTAAGTCGTTTACGAGAAAGGAGCACTTCACGAACCACATAATGTGGCATACGGGCGAGACGCCGCACCGATGCGACTTCTGCTCGAAGACGTTTACGCGAAAGGAACATCTGCTGAACCACGTACGCCAGCACACGGGTGAGTCTCCACACCGATGCGGCTTCTGCTCCAAATCGTTCACCAGAAAGGAACACCTTGTTAACCACATCCGCCAACACACAGGTGAGAGCTGTTGGCAGATGTCCATTTCACGGACAACTTAATCTAATAATTTACCGTTTTTCTTCTTTTAATCGGCTCTTATGACTTGTACAGAATTTCCTTTTTTTTTTCATTTTGTGAGTGACGGACTCATTGACTCGATTTGTTGTTTATAATGTATGATTTTTAACGTTGAATTGTCAAAGGGAAATGACAATATCGAAATGGTGTCAAAGTGTTATCTATCTCATATCTAGAAATTGAGAAACTGATGATACGAACGTAGAAAGAAAATAAGTTTGGCCTTATGGAAGCTTAATAGATCACGGACACGTGTTGATATTTGCGAGTCGCATGAGGGATAATCGTTTTCCCTTTTAATAAAAGAGTTAAAGATCGGTCGTCACGTTTTCGACTACGCAGATTAATAATAAAAAGTTGAAGCACTAAAAAGTAAACGTCGCGATATCGGTGTGATTGATGTGTACAGGAGAGACGCCCTTCCGCTGTCAATACTGTCCGAAAGCATTTACGCGTAAGGATCATCTGGTGAACCATGTCAGGCAGCACACGGGTGAGTCACCGCACAAGTGCCAGTATTGCACCAAATCCTTCACGAGGAAGGAACATTTGACAAATCACGTGCGTCAACACACAGGCGAATCGCCACACCGATGCCACTTCTGCTCCAAGTCATTTACTCGTAAGGAGCATTTGACGAATCACGTGCGAATCCACACCGGCGAATCACCGCACAGGTGTGAATTCTGTCAGAGAACGTTCACCAGGAAAGAACATCTAAATAATCATCTCCGTCAACATACCGGAGATTCATCGCACTGTTGCAACGTGTGCGCGAAACCGTTTACGAGAAAGGTAGGTTCACGTTACTACATACGTATTATACTATGAAGTGTTCGTTAGAGAGAGAACTTCGGACATCGTATTAAAACATGGTAACGACACGATCTCATTGAAACATCTCGGTCTTTTGTTACAGGAGCATCTCGTAAATCATATGCGATGTCATACTGGTGAACGTCCGTTCGTGTGCACAGAATGTGGCAAAAGTTTTCCGCTGAAAGGCAATCTGCTTTTCCACATGCGTTCGCATAATAAGGGCAGCAACGCCGAGAGGCCGTTCCGCTGCGACCTGTGTCCGAAAGACTTCATGTGCAAGGGTCACCTAGTGTCCCACAGACGGTCGCACTCGGACGAACGACCGCACAGCTGCCCCGACTGCGGAAAGACGTTCGTCGAGAAAGGGAACATGCTCAGACACCTGAGGAAGCACGCGACGGAGGGGCCACCGACGCAAGTCAGCACACCTTCGGCGATCCCTCAGTCCGGCGTTCTACCGATCCCGGCGGCGGCGGTTCTGGTCGGTCATCCTTTGGCACCGCCTGCGCCGCCCGTGGTACCGCAACACACCGTCGTCGTGCCTACCCCTCCGGGTGTGTTGACCTCCTACTAAACCAAATGAAGAGAGCAAACAAACAGGCATACATATTACGTAAAGGAGAAACAAAGAAAACATAGAAGAAAGCATTTTTCATAAGAAGAGAAAGTGAGTGTATACATGATCATTGAATGTTTGTGTCCGTTGGTCAATGAAAGTGCGCTGTTGTGTTGTCTTTTCCTTTTTTTCCCTCTTTTTCTCGTCTTGTTCGTCGTGCACATTGTCTCGAAGAGAAAGGAGAAGAAGAAGACTGTCGAAGAAACGTCGTCGCTTCTCTGCGGGAAGTGTATTCTCATCGATGAACGATGATAAGGGATCGTTGCGAACCGTCGTGAATTACAGCGTCATATTGTCCTGGTTTTAAACGTTCTTCTGAAGCTGTACAGAACAAAGGAAACGCTATGCGCGAAGAGTGGACGTCAAGTTCGAACAGTTGATCGTGCTGTTACGATCCGTAGCAGCGTTTTATCCAAAGTTTGAATTTCTTTGTTTCTTTTTCCTCTTCTTCTTTGTACGATAACTTTAGATCGTAACGTATAGCTCGTTTACAAAGATGAATAGATTTATGCGGTGTGCGTTACGTTCGGGGTGTGTGCGAAATTCGATACTCGGCAGTCTGCTGTTCGATAATGGGACACGCGTAATTTCGCTTTCGTTGATACGATCACGGTCAGGCACTAATTATCTAACAATACGACGCTGTATATTAGTTATATAGAATGTAATTTCATAAAAATGGAAGAGAAGAGAAAATTGAAAGAGTTATTAATATGAAACTGGTCTACTGACCGAGGGACCGTAGAATCCGGCGTAATCGAACGTTACGCCGGATACTATCCCCAGGACAAAGACAAGACTTGTCGAGCAGTTCGCTCGAAGTACAAAACATATTTTCGATTCGAGTTCCCTGCGATTGTCTAAGTCTTTCTTTCGATCAAATACCTCATACATATTTCACGAAATCGTTGATTTTAAATCAGCCGTTTTGAAAATTGTTTTCTATTTAAAGTGACCGATAGAAGAAAAGTGATTGTTTTTATTATACGTTTTTCTTGCACGTACGTTACGTGTACATGAAGCAAAATTAGACAATCTCGTTCTATTTGAAATGGGTGTCTCCAATTTCGTAACGAAAGGTGGTCGATCAAGGTACCGCGAGACGTATCGTAAATTTGCTTTTTTTTCTCTACATATTTGACTTCAAGAACGAAGAAAGAAATTCGATATATAAATTTAAGTATTATCATCATTTTCTTGTGACTAGCGAGATTTTGTTCATACATTAAATAAAAATTATAATGTTCAATTATCGCTTTAAGTATTTACGTTTAGTTTTATAATTGGCGTGTAGTTTATTTTTAATGCGAGAGAAATTATATGTAAACGGGGGCATGTTTAAAGGCATAAAGTTATCAATATTTTATCGACACGGATTCTAATGCCAAGTGCAAAGTCGCGTTCAATCGTCTATTTTAGTTTAGTGATCATTGTTTTTTTTTTCTTTTTGTTTAATCATCGTAGTCGAGAGTGCAATATAACTTCGCCAGTTTCATTTTAGTGAGGTAGCGGATACCATTTCGTCAATCAAAGTAAATCGAATGTTTAATTAATTTTGAGAACGATACAATGTCGTTCCGATGGTATTGGGGACAACGTTTCTTCTAAAGTATGTTCAATTCTTAATAATTATATTTTCATCAATTAATGATATTTGACGATCGTCTAGTTTCGAACAAAAAGAAATATTATTGTCTTTAGCGATCTTGTAAGGCCATGTATTTCGTATTTACGATTAAGAACAAAAGTTAAAAACAGAAAAAAAAGGTAGCGTAAGCTTGATATCGCGACAGCGTCACTCCGTGACAAAGTCATATACATATGCACACGTAGAAGAGAAGAGGTGCGTTATAAATCTGGAAAGTAAGAAGAGAGATAGAACGACGCTGCCGCGTTACCAGTCTTACTTTAATTATGTATTATATAATAACAATTATTGAATATAGACACAAGGAAAGATGATGAATTTATTAACGCGCATACATGCGTCACCATGGAGTTTCGTGTACGATAATGTTTGTCACTCCGTAGAAGTTTAGAATTAATATATTATAAAGTAAATATATAAGTATAATCCAAACAGTTAGATATATCACGTATTATTTAAAAAAAAAGTAAACGAGGAAAGATATAATTAATACCGCAGAGTCGCTTCATGGGCGACGTAAAAACAATAACGTACGTCGCATACGGAGCGCAAACAGTTTTCACATTATATATTAGTAAAAGAGAGAGAGTGCGAGTGAGAGATGGATGTATGTATAGAGGATGCGAGAGAAACTATGTACGAAAAAGGAAGCACGTATATACATATACAAAAAAACTGCAAAGATTACATCTCTAGTGGGGGAAGAGAAGAACAAAATATATGTGTGTATAATATATATAGCTGACGCGTATATACATTATACATTATGTATATATATGTTGTACACGACGAAGGAAGATTACTATGATGCCGTACCGGAGAATGCAATTTGATGCAAGTAAAATATTTCCGAACGATGCTGCTGTATGTGTAAAGAATTCCGTTGCAATTTATTCGTGGCATCGCTCCTTGTAATTTGCTAAAAATTCTAACAAGGAATAAACAGAGATAATGTTTATATGAATTATTATTATTATTATCTTATTATTGGTAATATTATTAATAATATTATACGTTGCGAGAATAAAATTAAGAGTTGGTTCACGCTTTTAAGAGATTTAGTTTCGTGCTTTGTTTTCTTTTTTAAAACGTCAAGTAAAATATCGCTAATTTTCTTTGGATCGAAGCGCGGGGACGAGAACGAATTGTGGAAGACAGAGTACGGGGACCCTGTTTTAGTTTTCGCTGATAATCAAATTTCACCGACCTCACGTGTAGCTTCTAATGAAAATGACATCGTCTCGTTTTTCGTTTTTCGGGCATTACTAATTGTAAGAGTCAGTCGAACGCGACACGCTTCGGTTCAAAGCAAAGTACGATGGTGAAGGAAAAGATTCAAAATATATGATTTACTTTAGATAGATCGAGAAATATGTATAGAATTTTATTATGCACCATTGTAATATTATGTATCCCAGTTGTGACACAATATACACTGGTGTTATGTTAAATGTGAAAATCTACGTGTCCTATCTTACATACAATGATCTCTCCCATGTTTTAATTTCTATTTCCGCTTCAAAAAAAGGGGATACTCGTACTTGTGCGCGCCTATCATACTGACGGACATCAAAGGTTTTTTTTAATAATCATTCATGTAAAATAGGCTCAATTTAATTCATTCGTAAAATTTGTGACTAAGGACATTTTGATTAAAACGCTAAAAGCCGGATGTAACATGTAACACAGTTTCCGTACGTTTTATTTATACAAAGTTTATACATTAATATCTTAGCTTAATTAGAAATAACAAATGTTATCTAAGTTTACGAGTTTTTCTTAAGTAATCACTTTTGGTATGAATATTACTCGAAGAAATAACATTGTTCGAAAGTCAGATTATTCAGTCTTGTATACTTTGGATTGTAGTTGTAAATCAAGCTCTTAATTTCCTGGCGCTTGGAGTGAAATTCGTGTGTATTCTTTCGTGCTACATGGGAAGAAATTGTAATTCTCATAAAGTAAATACGAATTAGACTGTTAATTAAACTAGGTACGTACCTTCGCTAACGAAAAAATTAGCGAAGTACTGGGACGCTTTGATCGCGTTCTTTCCATGCGGTATATTTCCACCGATGATCCATTCATACAAATTCTTCTCTGGATGAAATTGCAATCCGTAGAACGGATAGGTAACGTGTTCTAACGACGAAATAAATTTGGTTTCGGACAGATCCCAGTTGGTTGATAGTATTCGAAACTTGTCGTTTATCCCAACTTTTTTCAAGGCCTGTATCAAATCACTCTATAAGCATTAGGACTTCCAAAGATGTATCAGAGATGTAGAATTAACGTGCATACATTCTTGGTAACGCAAAAATGGTGGAAGTTCGCCGTTACATTTTTAGTTTCTAATATATCTTTAATCTCCGAGGAAATATTTCCGAACATTCTGCTGTTTCGATAATCTAGAGAAATTACAATATATTCAACTTCTTGAAAAGAAGAAATCCGAGCGCAGAGGAAGAAACGTGACCAGCTCATGATAGACCACATTCAAAACTTTCCTCAAATATATCTTATACAAATTATCTGAATGTCATACTTCCAACACCATAGAAATCATGGAAATGATTGGAAACTATTTTTTCACCTTGTACAGAGAAAATTATCATTTTTTAGTGGGTAGGATGCATGACTTGTCATGTTAATTCCACGGAATTTTTCCGTGTGTTTTGGAAAGATCTTAGAACCTGGAGAAAATACAAGAGGAATCGTTTGAGCATTGCTGCTGCAGGAAATCCTGTGCTCGGCTCGATTAGCGACAACGTACGTCAATAATTCGAAACCCAAACATATCCCAAAAATTGGAAAATAATCGGAATTCTCGTTCATTTTTTTCGCGATCCTACAAAAGAAATTGAAATAATTCAGACAATATACATATATGAAAAGATTCCATGTTACATAATTTTATTACTTATAAATAATATCTCCTGCATCGGCATATCCGCCATTGAAATATGTCGCTCCACCAGGCCACAGAACCCTGTATGAGATATCCAACAAAATTATTATAAATACCTTAAAAAATTTATTTACTCATTCATTTTACTTGCCCATTGATTTGGCTCAAGACATCTTCATAATAAGCTTTATTTTTTCCGATCCTAAGCAAATGCGCAAGATAGCGTAATATAGTGCAAGATTCAGGGAAAAATTAATTTCAACCCACGCGATAGTCTACATAATATTAGGTATATACATACATGATCGGAACAACTCTTGCACCGGCACCTTCAATAAACTTTACATAGGATGCCGCGATATAACTAGTATAAATATCATTTCCAATCTTATTTTTCATTGTGGGGCTCACTTCCTGCGCTAAGACGCCTATTAATGAAAAAATTAAATAGTAGAGAAAATAGGAAAGTAAACATTTTGCATCAGTACAGTAATAAAAATATTGATGAATATGTCCATACAACTAAATGCTGTGGATAAAAAAATATTGTGTTACGGATTACTCAAATGTCAGTAATAATAATTCAATCATAATATCAATCATAAAACCAATCATGATTTTAAAAAAGTAGGTAAATGTGTTTTAATCTAATCTAAAGCAATGGAACACTTGAAACTGTCAGTCAGATAAAAAATAACTGGTAACCCGATTTCTGTCCAGATTCTGATGTAGAAATAAATATCTTATTAGTAACTGATTTTAATTAAAAATTTTTAACTCGTCGAATAAGAAGGTAAGATATCGCTTGCAAAGTATAAACAGTATATTGTAGATGAATTCTTATTGATTTACTTACCAATTATTGGCCGATTATTAAGCATTCCATCGGTGCCTGAAACAATTGTACAAAGCACAGTTACAAGGCTTACAAGCATTGCTCGTGGAACTGAAAACATTTTGGAAGAACAATGAAGAGATCGATCTTTACTGGATCAGTGATTCGCGAGTGACAGAGTGGACAGGAACGGTACGCGTACCGCGACGTCAATATATGAATCATGAATTGCAGTCGTTATCTTATTCGTCCCGTTATCACTGTTCTCCTATTCGTGACCCCATGCACACTTTGCCAGTCATCAAATAGAGTAATTTGGAACTTTCCGCTGCTTGTGAGATGACTTTGATGAGTATGTGGTTTTCTGGATTTATTAAAATATGTAGTAAAATATTATAAAAGTCTGTCCCCCTTGTATAAAAAACTCTGAAGCAATAGCATTAAAGTATCGATCTTTTTCCATAAGTACATTATTTCATACATAGATATAATGACACGAAATTAATAATAAATGGAAAAATGAATGGTTCGAAATAAGTTCCAACTTAATTAGTTCCACAGAAAATTGTACTAATAAGATGTCAACAGATTTTCAACTCTACTTTCTACCATGAAAATATTTCATATGTACAAAAGATAAATTTATTTACAACCCCATTACATTTGGAATAACGTGAGTGTTTTACAAAAAATTTCGCAAATATCTCTTGATTTTTCAAAAACTGATTACGTTAATAAGAACTTAATCCCTAAATGTTTTAGAAAAATGGATTTCGTACAAATGTAAAGTGTCCAGATACAATAAAAAAATGTTAGTAACCAGTGTAAAAATTGATACTGATCCTGTGCCAGCATACGGCACAACGAGATACAGTGGAGCAATTGATTTAAAAGAGAACGTTAACGAATATTTCTTGACCTCACCACGCAATGCGTATATTGGATCGCGCTTAATGTGTTCACGTACAGATAAGAGTTCTACAAAAGCGGTAATTATATAATTCGTTTCCAAGACTCGATTAGAAGGCATTTCTACCATCGTATACAATGATTTTTTAATTGATTCTGAATTAGCCACGTCAGCAACTGATTATGAATATTTATAATTTTAATCAACATTTCAACATGCGTAGAATGTTCAGAAGATTAGCTACTCATTTTTGCATGTTTAATATTCGGCATCCCTAAAATTTTAATATGTACCTGTACTCTTTGTACATAACAGAGTTTCCGAAGAACGATAGAAAATAGAAACAGCGTATTAAAAAATTCTGAGGAATCTAGTACCATCTCAATTTGTGCGAATACCAGCGCGGTAGAGGCGCATTGTACTTGCGAAGAAATAGAACCGAACGAAGATTTGTGCACCTGCTTTGAGAACGGACAGACAGATTCGGAAATGACGTGTCAACTATCTATGACGAACTGGAGGAAGCTTTACGAGTTGACGGACACTTCTGAGACGAAGCTAGTAAATTCGTTCGACGATCTTTTTAATTGCACGACCAATAACGAGGGCGTGAATGCTTTCTTCGATATGTACGAACCTCATCCACGAAGGGAACGAGGACAGATGAAAGGAAAAGATTTGCCGCCGTCAGGATACGATGTGACTTTAATCCTCCCGCAATGCGTCTGCTTAAAAAGTGAGTTATTTATATAACAAAAACAGCAGAGCGTTGAATGAGTATGGAGATAATATTAATTATGCTTTTAATCGAGATACTGTTGCATAATTTTTTATAAGAGGGGCATAAACATTTCTCTGTAGCTCTCATCATCATTACATTCCTCGCCAGCCTTTATGTTTTATTTCTAATATAAATAGATTACCAAGAATATAAGAAGATTAATGAAAGCAAAAGCGATGAGACTCTTTCCGATGGAAAATCTGAGACTATAAGCAATTTAATATGCATGCCGAGCGTCACGGAACTTTCGTGGGACATACTGCAGTCTGGTGCATTCGAGAAAATACCGGAAAAATATACGACCAACATTTTTGAGTAAGACGATTATTTTACGTTTCAATATAAAACGTAATATTTTACTATAGGAATTGATTCATATGTATGTAATTATTGTAGAACTAAGAAAAAGGAATCGGAAGATGCTGGATGCTTTAAAACCCAGAGGAAGATATGCGAGGTCAAAGGTTCTCACGTATCGTATTGCTTCCATAAAATATTTTTCGAGAATTTGAATAAATCATATACTTCGATGTAGTAGAAGAAATAAATATATTGTATACCTCCGATCTACTCGCTGCTATTTGTCACTGCTTCGCATTAACAGTACAAATGTCTAATCATTATAAGTAAATAAGTAAGATTTTCGTTCATAATAAATATTGCACATTCTGTACTTAAGTTACCGGGCAAATTTAAAAAATTTGCGCATAATGTACAGAGTCCTCTACGACACGCTATCGTGTCGTAAGAACTGCGTAATAGTGCGTAAGAACAAGAACCACGGTAAGTAAGTTGCTTTTGAGCGCGTCGTACCGTGCCTTGTCCTCAGTGAAGCGGTTTTATTATAAATAATCGCGGAGAGGTGCAACTACTTTTTGAAGAACAATTATATTTACTGGATACTTTGAAATCGACTAAATCTTCAAACATGGTAAGTATCAATCATCTGTCATAATATTCGCAATCATTCTCTTTTCTTCGTCGTTCTGCGCACAGGTTATGTTTTACACGTGGAATGTACTCTTTTATTCAATATAAATGATAATACACATTTCTTGATTCATTAGAGTTTTTTTATATGACGACACTTAAGTGAAAAATTGAATTATTGACGAAACGTTAATTATCACGTGGTTTTCACAGACTGACGAAGTTAATCCGAAAGCGTACCCTTTGGCAGACGCTGCTTTGACTGCAAAAATCTTAAATTTGGTACAACAAGCTATGAACTACAAACAGTTGAGGAAAGGAGCCAACGAAGCGACAAAGACATTGAATCGTGGCCTTTCAGAATTTATTGTAATGGCAGCAGATGCCGAGCCATTGGAAATTTTGTTACATTTACCATTGCTTTGCGAAGACAAGAATGTACCATACGTATTTGTTAGGAGTAAGCAAGCATTAGGCCGTGCTTGTGGTGTATCCAGGCCTGTTGTCGCATGTTCCGTAACAGTTAACGAAGGATCACAATTGAAACCACAAATTCAAGCCATACAACAAGAAATCGAACGTCTATTAGTTTAAGTATTATGTACCTGATTTAGAATCAGTCTTTTTAAATATAAGTAACTACAGACTATTGTTTCCAGTTTTCATACAGATTTTTTTTCAATGATTTCAATGTATTAAACAATATGTATTTTTCATACAATGAAACATGAGTGATCATGTTACTTTTGTAAATAAAAGGAAATAGAAACTATCGATAGTGTTTGTGTCACTTAATATATATGTAATTTATTAAAAGTCTCCTCTTAGAATTTCTAGCTTTTTTGTATGTACCTTTTATATACCATCTTTTTAAAACTTAAAGTAGTTTAAAAAAATATACATACATATTTACATATAATTGCTATAAAAAATAATGTATTAAAAGGAAAGAGAATGGGACGTAAAACAGGAAGCGCATATATTAAAAAAAGCCTTGTAAAAAAACATGCAAAATTTTTTTAATGTAAATCAGGTAGAACAACAGAAGTCCAATTACCGTGCCATCGACTTTTTTGAAATTCGTGCAGTTCTGCTCGAAATTTCTTTTCCAATTCCTGTTGATGTTTGTTATTGGGAAAGTCTTCAAACCACGATTTCAGCTGCGCAGCTAATTCTTTATCGCTTGCGAAGACCATTCCATTTTCGTTATGTTTAACGAGCTCTGATAAGCTGCGAAACAAGAATCTTTACAAACATTCTGAACAGCGAACACTTAAAATTACTGATGCCTACCACTTAAAGTTGTATGCACAAACTGGAAGTTCACAACCGAACATATCAATTACTTTCATTGGTAAATCTAAGCCGCTAGACGATGTGTGAAGACTAATTCCTAAGTCTGCGCTAGCTACAAATACGAATTATGTCATTTATCTGAAAATAAATATAATTGAAATAAAAATTTGATTAACTTATACCTAGCATTTTAGGATAGTCTTCATTCGCAAGCCATGGTGTTACAACTACAACGTGTTTCCAATTCTTCAATTTCACGATAGCTACATAAAATTCTTTTATTGGACCTTTACCAGTTATTACACAGATTAAATCAGGAAGATTGCAATCGTCTTCTACAAATGCATTTTCATAATCTGGAAAAATACAAAATTTGAAGTACGATAAATCACAATTCAGTGTATGATGTACCTTGCAATGCATTTATCAGTATTGAAAAATCTTCATCTTCCGTCCAACTTGTACTCGATACAAGGAGACCAGGTCTTTTAGAGAGTAACTGCACTTCGTTCTCGAGACATTCTGTAAATATAGTTGAATCCTTCGTCTGACCATTGAACACATCGTACTTGTTACTTAAGCTTAACAAGAATTCATGTTTCTCTGTTAATGATATAGGTCGAAATTCTTTTGCTGGACGATCGTACAATACTTTGGCTCTAAATAAAACAAAAGAAATGTTATATTGTACATACAATAAAATAATTACATAATAACTGTTTATAAAAATACTTACTTAACTCCCCAATTTCGTTCTAAGTCTTCTTTCATTGCTTGAGAAACACAAAAATTACGATCGGCCCTCGAGCCAAAATAGCTCTCAACTAGTTTAGTAATCTTTACTAAGAGATGATCATTGCCTAAATTAAGAACCATAAGAGTGTACGCATAATTATGCCAATCGAGAATTAATCGCCCATTAACGAGCATGGAATAAAGCCAACAAACTGGAATTGTTGGGATTGCAGGTGGGTTCTGTACTAATATGTCATCTACCACGGCATTCATAACTAAGATCCATACTAAATTTGTTGTTTGGATCACTGTTTTCATCGCATAATAAAGCAAACGAGGTAATGCTGTAACATGAAGAAAAGTTATGTAATTATTTGAATTCTTAATTATGGAACGATTACGTCAAAATATATGGTACAGAAGTAACATATGCAACGTACGTAACATGCGTACGTGGCAAAGAATAAAAATTAGTGCAATGTATTAGAATAAAATTGAATACATGCTACCTTCTAATTCTGGAAGCGGCCAAAGGTAATGAATATGAATATTGTGATTCTGTCTTATTTCTTTCAACGGTGTAGAACCCCGGTAACCTACGAAGTCCACGGTAAAGCCTTCTTTTGCGAACGACAACGCGTGATATTGCATCCTGGGGCTTCTGCCCAAATCCCCAAGAACGACAATAGTAATATGCTTACGCTTTTTATATACATTCAGAATCAACTTCCTAAGTACAAACAAAATTACAGGAATCGCACAAAGTAAACAAATGCCCCACATTTTTAGACGAAGCCGTGACACTTTCGGTTCCGACGATATGTGATTCAAACTATGCCCTAACGCGTGAAACTAATCAATTGATAATAATAATACGTCAAATACGTGTTACAAGCAATCAAGCGTCCTGTTATCTACTTGCATTGTTGCATCGGAATGTGTTGCAAATTGCTATAGTATGTGTGTATACATTCAAGCTATTGCAGTTTGCAGATTTTGCTGACTGGGATATTTAATAATCATAAGCAATTAAATATTTTATTATTTATTGACTATAGATCTTATTATTTTTTACATACAAGAAAACAAATAAATATTATGTCAAAAACTATTTTGGATAAGGTTTCTTGTTAGAAGGAGCTGGTAATCTGTATTTTGCTAGTTCTACTTCTGCTTCTCCAAAGCTGTCTATGTTATAACAAAAATATTCTGGATTTTTGTATTCCTTATCCTTAGCAGCACCAGGACCGACAGCTGAAAAGCAAAACGTTAAGATAATTAAAGGTAAAATAGTGAGTAATTTAAAAGTGAATTACTTTATCATATATTGTACTACGATAAAAGTCACGATTATTCAATACGTTTATATGGTGGTAATTGTTAAATAATAATCTGTCGTACGTGTATTTGGAACCTTCACACATTTATCAGTGAGTCCTGGAACATTCGGACTCGAACTTCTTACTGCTGACGAATTGCGCATTTCTCTCGTCACCCTTTTTGTACTTAATGATCGAATTAGAATTAGATTTTGTTTCTGAAATGATTTAATCCATAGAACTGGAATTGTCTTCTTGATAATAGGTTATATAGTACAATATTATTATGTGTACCTGTCTTACAATTGCTTTAATCGGGCGTAACATTTTTCAATAATTTTGACGATCGTCTTATGTTTTTAAAAAACAAATACGACCTCCGTATTTATGTAACACTCTTTTTATTAAATTGTGTTCGTGTCTGCCACTATCAGTAATCATACGTACGTACAAGTATACAAAGTAGATCATTTATATATATACATGTAAAGTTCCTAAATTGTGTTTGAATTTAAATAAAAATTTCTCTATCGTTCGTTAGAAAGAAAGTATTTGTATTTGGAACATTTCCTTTATATTTCTTTGAAACGTTTGTAACAAATAGTTTCAAACATGAAATATAAATAGTTGCGAATCTGCTTTAAAAGCAGTTCATGTTATGTAATTGGAAAGGGTAACATCACTGTCAAACGCAGTGCTAGAGTTTAGTGAAATAAATAGGTAAAATGTTATTTAATTGTCACTGATCGTGATACTTTGGTATCGTACTTGGATCATTCACCTAATTCCAATATTCCAAGAATGCGGCTGCCTTTCGAAACAATGCATATAATTCGAACACTGACTGAACTTGTTTTAACAATCCTCTCAATTTCAAATGTTTCTCAATAGTTTGTTATATCGTGAAACATTATTATTTTTAGTATGCATGTATTAAATTCTTTCTGCCATACTCAAATTTACCAGAACACTCAATAATGTAATGCTAACCTTTGACAATTTTCGATGCATCGAAATACAATGACCTGTGAATCATTAAAATGTACTACTAAATAAAATTAATAGTTTTAACTGTCAAGTTGAAGTTTTCCCAGTTTTGTTAATATAACAATTTTGTTCCAGGATCATAAAACATGTCCTATTATCACCCAAATCGAGAGAATGGAATTTTAAGTTCTCCGGATGGACAAGACCCTGTTGATAAACTTATATCAGCAGTGAAACCTTGTTTCCTGGTAGGCTGTGGAGGTGGGTTGGCGATTCAAGGTTTCAGATATGGTAATCTGGAAACTCCTGCTGCAATTGGGAGAATGGTCCAGGTAGCATTCCCATTGTGTGGTATGGGTTTCTTCTTTGCCACTGCTTCATTCGCATCTGCACGCATAAGGGGGAAGAACGATACAATTAACAGCTTAGTAGGACGTAAGCAATATTTCTCCTAGTCTTGATCAATCATATTTCTAATGTAACTGTCTCTTCAATGCCGTTTATATTTGCAGTTTATAGCACTGTCCCAATACTTCGAAAATTCCTTCCTCTGAGTTATGTCCTGCCAGTATTATCAGCTGGCACGTTTTTGACAGTCTTACTAAGAGAACTGAATGAACCTGAGAAACCAACTACGGAAAGCGCTATGAGTAGAGAACTTGATGCGTGCAATCTCGACTGGTGGACTTGGTCACGAGTTAAACCAGAGTCAGCACCATACATCAAGCGTGACTTAACTCTTTCAGAGCTTATTGCAAATCCACAGGGAAAGTGAAATTAGGAAATTACATCATGTAGAATTCTTGATTAAAATACAACACGTATCGTCATCTTTAGTGTATGTTTATTCGTACGTAATTACAATAAATGGAAAAAATCTTAAAATATAACTTTCACTAACGTCTCATGTCAATGTCTCTCCTTTAGTGACCTGGAAGACAATTATTAAAATTACTACACATATTAAATGTAACAACGTATATACATTTTTTGAAAAACAGATGAAAACTTACACATGCCTCAAGATATTCAATTCGTCTTTCAAGTGTGGTAAGCTTCTCATTAAGAACTGCTATTCTTGATCTGCATGACATATCTAAGAAAATAAAACGTATTACCTTTAACTAACCAGTTATACGATTAAGAATAAGTAAAATTCTTTAGTGAGGCTTTCTTTACTTTTTATACATCTACTTTTTTTTTATAACATTACATTATGAATGTAGTAAATTCTGTTCAGATAATATTCATTTAATAAATTATTGGAGGTTTACCAAATGAATTGAGGAAGTCAGTTATTTTCTTAATGCTTCCAGTTATGACTTCGATATATTCGCGATTTGCCCAGTCTTGCTGAATTTGTTTCTGTATAGCTTCTCTATGTACGGCAGCCATTTTCAAAGCAAACTGACGTTTCTCTGTATATATTCATATTCTAACATTGTGTAGATGTGTATGTCGTATGTATGTATGTAGATACAGCGGATACAGCTAGTAAGAAACTGAGCCAGCTTTTTTCAATGTTCGATCAGGCGTTTATAGAATTGTGGTCGATACTGTTTGACACGTCAAAATAAAAACAATTTTAACCTACGTCTGG